GGCTTGTGTTTTGGGTATCATACGTAAGATACCTAGGAAACCGTTGCCAAAGCCAAGGTTATGAAGATTTCCCCTATGTTTTCTTCCAAGAATTTTCTAGCTTTGGCTCTTACATTTAGGTATTTGATCTATTTTAAGTTAATTTTGCATATGGTATGGAGAAAGCATGTGTACATCCAGTGTTCCAGTGCCTGTGTAGTAGAGACTGTTCTTTCCCCATCAAATGGTTTTCCCTTGTTGAAAATTATTTGACCATGAACACCAGCGTTTGTTTATGTATTCTCAGTTCTATTCTATTGGTCTATATTTCTATCCTTCTGCCAGTATCATACTGTCTGGATGACAGTTACTTGGTAGTAAATTTTGATATCAGGAAGTGTGAGTCTTCCTAATTAGTTCTTTTTCAAGACTGTTTTGTCTACTTGGGATTTCTTGCAATTCCATGAATTTTAAAATTCATTTGTATAAAGAAAAAGGTATTGGAATTTTGATAGTGATTGCTTTATCTCTGTAGATTGCTTTGGGTAATATTACAGTAATTGAAGGGTGGGGCCTTGAAGAGATGATTAGATTGTGAAGACCTTGGCAAATGGAGTAATCTATTTGATGATGTAATGGCCATCGTGGGCATGGTTCTGAGGGCTTTAAAAGGAGAATTCATGAGGAGTTTTCTCTCCCTGCTCCACCAGAGTTTTCGCTCCCTGCTCCACCATATTCGCCATGTGATACCCTGAGTCACTGTAGCCCTGCCAGGACACAGCTCTCACCAAATGTGTTCCCTGGACTTTGGACTTCCCAGTCTCCTAAACTGTTAGCAATAAATTTTGTTTTCTTACAAAGTACCCAGTGCAAAGTATTTTATTATAAGCAACAGAAACAGACTAATACAGAAAATTGGTAGCAGAGAAGTGAAGTGTTGCTTATAACAAATAATTGAAAATGTGGAAGCAGCTTTGGAATTGAGTGTTGAGGAGAGGCTGGAAGAATTTGAAGGAGCAAGCTAGAAAAAAACTAGCTGCTGGTGGGAATTTAAAAGACAGGAAAGCCAGGAAAACTTTGGAACTTCTTAAAGACTGGTTAAATGTGGAGAGCAGAGTGCTGATAGAAATATGGACAGTAAAGGCCATACTGAGAAGATCTCAGATGTAAATGAGAAGGGATTTATTGGGAACTGAGGCAAAGATCACCCTTGCTATATGAACTGGCGAGGAATGTGGCCGCATTCCATTCATGCCCAAAAGTTTTATGGGATATGGAACTTCAAGGTATTGAACAAGGGTATTTGGTGGAAGAAATTTCTAAGCAGCATTAAGAAATCTGCGTGGCTACTTGCAACAGCCTGTGCTGAGTTATGGAAGAAAAGACATGAGGTAAAGCCAGAATTTATAATTCAAAAGAAAGCAGAGAGCTAAAAATTGGAAAACTTTCAGCCTGGCCACAAAAGCAAGGGTGTAGCCCAGCGACCTTTTGCTAAGGAGATTAGTATGGAAGAAAAGGATTATCGAGACAGGAAAAAAGATCTTGAAGGCATTTCAGAGATCGTGGAGGCTGCATCTTCCATTGCAGGCCCATAGGCCCAGGGTGACAGAATGGTCTTGGGGAACAGGCCTGAGGTACCCCCCAC